ACAGGACGCCAATCTGACCTTGTCCCCTCGGGACACCTGCTAGTGCGGAAGGCGTTGGCCACATCCGCCAACCATCTAGTACTCGCTATGGGGTCCCGCCCCATGATAGTCTGGAGCTCCGCACGCCCTGAACTCCCTGAATGTAAGAGTGCGCGACCCCATCACGGCCGCCATCTCAGCCCGAAAGTACTCAGTCTCTCATCCATCATCTCCAAAATACCCTCCTTGATCGAACCGAAGATCACAGGAGTCTGCTCCAATATGATGCGGGTAACCTCAGAAGAAAGGAACTCTCTGGTCTGCTCATCCATCTGCCCGACCTCCGGGCCTGATCCCGATCCTGATCCCCCTCCGGCATCTGAGCTGCCGCCTGCTGGTCTCGGGCGCAAAACTACCATTCTGAAACATATCATAACAACATCAGAACATTGAAATATCTCAAGGGATCATGACACTGCTACTAGCTTCCTGGTCTTGTCTTGGCCTTCCTTGATTCGAGTACGGATCCTCTGCTTTCAGTAGTACGGGCCCATACTACCTTCCACATCTATCCGTACTTTCCTCAAGAACTGCCTTGACTCCACCAAGTCACTTCTACTACTGCTATTCTCTGCTACTCTCATCCTAGGCTTGCCTAGGAAAATCTCAGGCTCAACACAATGGTCCTCAGCTGCTGAAGGTTTCCTCATAACGCCAATTAGCCATTACCTAACACCATCACATGTGATGAGGATCAGATAATCCTTCGAGTAAAAGACCCGTCCCTATAACGGTTGGACTCAAACAAGAGCTGCGCAATAGGGCCAGTTCCAGTACTCTGAGATTATTCAATCCTAGTCACATGTGGTGTGACGTGTTCACCTAATGGCTAACTCCCATCACTCGGAACCCCACTAAGCACAAAGCAAGCAGCATTCGGACACGGAAAACAGACTCAAGCAAACTATTCTCATAACAAGAAACTGCACTAGCATAAGATGCTAAGCTCCTGCTATCAGGCATAACCTAATCAGGCTATCCTACTGCTGTCTACTCAGTACTAGCATGCAATACTCATAAAGCTGTAACACATAAGCAGGCACATAAGGCATTCTCCTAAATCCTTAGTCCTATACTAGCATGCTGTTCTACTAAAACTGAAATTGAACAAATAACTTGTATGGGTAATTTGGGAGTACTTACTTGAGCTCGGCTGACCGCATGCACACACCTCTATCTTGTTTAAAAAAATTCTTCCTTTCTAAGTACTTTCAAAATTCTTTTTATAAAACGTTTTTATTTTAATAAAATCTTTCATTTCCCTTAGTTTGAGTTCAGATACACCCGGAAGTGTATCCGAATCCCTCAAACCAGGGCTCTGATACCAACTTGAAACGACCCAAAAATTTTTGTTTTTAATATAATCAAAACTGTAATCAGAGTATCATATAATAAAACCATGCGTGATGTATTCCAAAACATAATAAAATACTGTGCGGAAAACTGTATCATGCTACATCAAATCAAACAACTAAATCAATCCCAGGCTAAAGCTGAGGCGGTGGTGTGTGCGATGCCGTCATCCCGAGCTCTTCCCTTTGCTTGCGGAAGTACCTGAAACCAAAACTGAAACTGTAAGCACGAAGCTTAGTGAGCTCCCCCAAAATACCACATACCATACAATAACAATATCATATAAACACATATCGGGCCTTGCCCACTGCATCGGGACGAAGCCCGGAAACTGCATCGGACCGAAGTCCGGAACTGACTGGGACCTTGTCCCCTGCATCGGACCAAGGTCCGGAACTAACTGCATCGGACCGAAGTCCGGAACTGACTGCATCGGACCGAAGTCCGGAACTGACTGCATCGGACCGAAGTCCGGAACTGAGCATAGCATATAGCATACATCATAACAACTAGCATGAACACATATACTGCATACTACATCGGGCCGTAGCCCGGAACACATAATACATAACACATAAAACATAGCTCACAAATCCTGTCTGAGCCACGAAGGCATCAAACATACTAACTACTGCATCGGATCAAGTCCGGAAACTACTGCTAACTGGACGGGCCGGCATTGTGGCCTTAGACCCGTCCCTACTGGAAGGAAACTCACCTCGTAAACTGGCGGCTGAGTGTGTGTCTCTGAAAGCTAACGGCTGCTGCTCCTGAATCTCCTCGGCTACAAGTCCATGAACACACTCAATCAAATACTAAACACTGCACTTGGGGTAAAATGACTCTTTTACCCTTGGTCAAAGTCAACTTACTTTTGGGGCTGACTCGCCGAGTTGGGCCGCCCAACTCGCCGAGTCTCACTCTCACTTCCAACTCATACTCACTGCGACTCGTCGAGTGTGGCATCGACTCGACGAGTACCCTCTTGATCCAAGAACTCAGACAATCTTCATCCGACTCGCCGAGTCGTATGAACAGACTCGACGAGTTGTTCTTGATCCTAAGGAGATTGCCTTGGACTCGCCGAGTTGTATGAACAACTCGTCGAGTCCCTCCATCACTGAGTCTACCCTCAACTCGCTGAGTCCACTCTCTAACTCACTGGGTGCACTCGGCACTGCTAAAAACGAAGGAATCGGGGACTCGCGACCCGACTCGCCGAGTCGCTGCCATGCAGCTAGTTTTTACTCGATTTCTCTTGAATCCAACACATGCAAATGATAGATCTGGGTCCAATAAGCTGTTTTACCACGTAAAGTTTCCAACTTTACGTGCACAACCTCATGAATAAGGGAAATAGGGCTAAAAGATGCACAAAATGAGTAGATCCATGGCTAATATGCAATGTAACTCCAAAAAGACAGTAGATCTGGGCTCTACAACACCCCAACATTCAGATCCAAAGGTATTTCGACTTATTAAGACATTCATGCAAACATAAGGCTTGGAACAAACATCAAATAGCTCTTAGAAGAGCTCTAATGGAAGTTTAAAGCATATAACAAGAAGGGAACTCCGAAAATACCTCAATAAACTCAGATTTGCCCTTGGATCTTTGCACTACAACTCGTTTCCTTGCTTCTTTCTTCTTCTCCTTCTTCACACCTTCACAAAATGGCACCAAATCACTTATAAGCTCTCAAGGGAGGATTAGGGTTCTCTCACTGTGTTCTCAGGGTGAAAGTGGCGAGAATGAGGTTATAATGTGGTTTAAATAGTGGGCAAACCCGGGGATTTAGGGTTTCACCCAGACGGACGGACTCGCCGAGTCCGGGATATGGACTCGTCGAGTCCCCGGCTCCCGCGTGCACAAAATACGCGACCCAACTCGGGAGTCAGGCTAGACTCGCCGAGTCCCTCTTGAAAACTTAGACAATTAACAATTAATTAACATACCGGAACGGTCGTTACATAGGAAGTCCCTGAACAAACCCTTGCAAGAATTTGAACAAAACCCTTGCAAGAATTTAAAGGTTCATGGTTCAATTTTCTGGGACCCGTCGACGACTCGTACAGGTCGCGCGACTCGTCGAGTCGGGCATGGACTCGACGAGTCCAGTCGATTTACAGAACAGTTCGATTTTTTTTTAATTATATTCTGTGTTTTCTGGGTCTGGTTTATATGTTTTGCAGGAATCATGTTTAGAAGAGGACAATCTTCAAGTGGTAGCCAAGGGGAATTTCCATGGTTGAATTTCCCGCAAATCGAATCCGCTTCAACAATGCGGAAGTGGAAGAAGAAGCTTTCCGATATCAAAAGAAGGAGGTCTATGTACCGAACAGAATTGATTGGGAGTGGTTGCAAAATGTGCGATATGAAGAAGAATTAGCTCCGTACCTTTTAAAGGAGTTCCAACATGACGGCGAGTCAATGATATGTGATGGTTGGAGCCGGGTCTTCCGCATACAAGAGCCGGTATATTTGGAGCTTTGCTTGGAGTTTTCTCCACGGTATCTTTTACCGGTGGAGTGGATTTATATCATCCGGCGAGCTTCACGTTTTGTCTTGGGGGCGAGTATCATCAATGCTCGGTGGTGGATCTTGCTTGCCGGACTAGGGATTTATGATCAACCTTTGGTTTCAACGAACCTCTTTCGGGCCTTTTTGGCAACCACTCACATGGTGTTCCCCGCTGGAGTTACTAGCACGGGTTGGTGGAATACTATAAGGAATAAAGTTTATATCCCGAAGTCAGCACAAGAAGGGAGCATCCGATCCCCGACTCACCGCCTTATTTCCTCCACCATCAACCAAAGGAAGGACGATGACAAGGTTTCCAACCTTGATGTTTTCTACCTATGGAGCATTATCACGCCGGCGTCTTTTGCAACATCCCGTGGTGCATTGCTTCATACCTCTCAGCGGGTGCGGTCAAAGATCGCAAAACATCGCGTATCAATGGAGGCATGTTTGTCACTCGATTGGCTAATTCATTCGGGTTGATGAACCGTGGTGCCTGGAACCTCCTGACATTGATCCCGACACCCCCATTTAATCCCATTCTTTTCCGCAGAGCACGAATCATTGAAGACTATGGTGGTGGCCATTATGCCATCCCAAATGATGACCCAGTTGTAGGTCCCGAAGCACCGGGAAGGAGGGTGAGATCGCGAAGGGAACGGGATGTGGAGGATGAGCCGCCAGTGATTCCGGTAGAGACTGAAGACGTACCAATGGATTGGTACAATATAGAGATGAGGCGGATGCAAGACCAAATGGCTAGGGGGCTAAATTTTAGCAACCAATCCCACATACGACTTTTTGACCACTTCAATATTCCACATATTGATGGTGGGAATTATCCATACATTCCATCGGGGACGAGAGGATTGGTGCACGACAAAGCGGAGCTGGGGG